CTATACAGCTCGTTGAGAAATGAGGTTAAGTTGGTCGCTATAAGCTACGCCCTACGTCCAATGTGTCAGAGCCAACTTCGACCACGTTTTTATCTGAACGCTCGTTATATTTTTTATTGGCAAATAAATCATGTTAAACATACATCAATAGGTATAACTTTGATGTACCTATTCTCTTTTAAATGACCACCCCTCTTTAGTGACCAACTTTTGATGCCCCTTGGGTGGTCAGTATTAGAAGGTTCTACAGTATTATTTTGCAAAATATCTCTATTAAAGTCTAAATTCCACAATTAGACTGTGTTGGGTGCCAGGACACAAAAGGCAATAGTAGGAACAAGAAAGCGGATGAACTTGCTAGGAAGGGATCCGAGACATAGTTCATTGGCCCGGAATCTTTCTGCGGTAGGTTATGGCGTAACCTTTGAAGGAAAGAGCAAATGGGTTGCTGAGCTTAAATAAAATTCGGTTCAGAAGACTGACGAGACTTATAACGGGACACTGTCACTTCAAGAAACATCTACAGAAGCTAAAGCTTGTAGACAGTCCGGTCTGCCAAGGATGGGACACGTTGGATGAAACCTCTTTGCACGGAATAAGGTGACGCTCCTGCGAAGAGCCAACCCAAGGAGTTGAGAGAAGTGTCGGCAAGGAAGCTTTTGGACTAAGTAGTGGGACGCACAATAGGCCTGATAAGGCCACGATTCCATGGAACTTATTAGAACCACCCACTAGGAAAAGAAGAAGATCTATTTTTTTAAGTTCCTTTTATGACAGTGTACTAATTAAATATGGAACCAAACTTCAATGGGTCCGCAAATCCATTATTTTTCAAGATACAAGGTGTTGAAATGAAAGGAAGATCCACTTCCTCTAAAATATCTCTGAAGGCGTTTGGTGCAGAATGATGAAACTTAGTTTAATTATTTACATAATTGAAGGGAAAAATCCACTGAATTCGGATGTAAGTGCGTGTATCAGTGGCGGAGATACCGGGAGTTATTTGCACTAAAAACCGACACTGACTATTTGGAATATTCTACCACTACTTCTTACTCCTTATGATGTTTCCATGGAAAAAATAGATTTCAATTTATTCGAAAAACGTTACCAAGCACTTGATTAAATCTCCCATAAAGCTACTCCTTTCGCAAAAAAGTTCATACGATATTTTTTTCTAAATGTACGTCTTTAAATACAACTTCATCATGAAAAGTCCCAGAAAATAATCGCTGCCAGTTTTATTTTTTTTTTTCAGGACATCCCTTGTAAGTGTGAAATTTCTATACCACTGAACTCTTTTAAAGTTGTCATGATTAGTTTGTATTTAAAATTGTATGTCAAAGAAATCCTATGAACTTTATAAAAGAAACAAATAACTCTATAGTTTACATTTTGTGCCGTGTTAATCTGATCTGATACAGAATTGAATTATGGAAGTAAAAACCATAAAATTACATGAAAATATAAAACTGATTCTTGTAAGTTTTTAGAAGTATTCCTCATAGACTGAGCCATAATTAAATCACAGTATAAACAATTGCAAAAAAAAGTTTATTGTTCTTGAACATTGTAGCCAACGAAAAGTTATGAACTGCTGGGGCAAACTAAAAATTTTAAGTTCACACAGAAAACTTATTCACCTGGAACTGAAATATATGTGTTACATAATAGCTGAATACTGAAAGCTATAAATAACACACAAAGCAAAAAGTCACTCCCATATGGAGGAAGATCTAGTATATCAATGTTAGTAGGTCGCTAGGGACAAGTCTAAAATTTATGATATATATGATATAAATATTATGGTAACTAGATATCTTTATATAGAAGCAAGCATCCACGAACGTAAAAAGATATCCTATAAACGTAAAGCAGATTATTCTCATTTTATTTGCCTCTGTTACTCTTGTTGATTTTCGATATCTCCCTTGGTTATCGAGATATTTGCATATAAACATTTCAATGCATTTCGTTTTTAACTGTTAATCCTTAAATTATTTCATATCAGGCTTGGTCTCATGAAGCAGCTTATCAAAGCTGTGGACAAAGGCAGTTACTGTTTTCAACATTTAGGAGAGGTTTCCAACGATAAGTGACGCGAAATTGAAACAAGATGTTTTTGACTGTCCTCAAATTCATACTCTTTTTCGAAACTCTTTTTCGAAGTGAAAATTTTATTATAAGGATGAATGATACTGAAAAAGGAACATGGCAAAGTTTCAAGAATATCTCTCGGAACCTTTTAGGAAATGAGAAGAGTGCAGATTATGAAAATTTGATTGAAGAGATGTTGAAAAATTTCAAACAGTTAGGTTGCTTGGTGAATCTTAAATTGCACTTCCTACACTCTCACCTCGACTATGTTCCTCAAAACCTTGGAGACTACAGTGAAAAACAAGGAGAAAGATTACATCAAGGTACAAGTGAAATGGAGAATCGATACCAAGAAAGACGGGATGTCAACATGATGGCAGATTTCTGTTGGACACTAAAGAGAGAAACGAATCAGAATAGACGGAAAAAAAAGCAACCCGCTACATAGGTCATTCGAAGAGAAAAGAGTTGGCTATAAGAGAAGAAAAGTGTATGAGTTGAATTTATTTGGAAGTAATTCATATCCATGACATTTATTCAAGATTTTTTGGGATTCACTATTTCCATTATATTTGCTATATTTTGCGATTTTTGCAAAATTTTTGGGTAAAGAGGCTTAACAGATTTTAGATTCAAATTCGACTCGATTCGAAATTTATGAGAAGAGCACTTGCTACAATCTAGAAAACCTCTTTCTAAATTTTCTCACTCTCATTAATAATAATAATGATTGTTTGCCATTTTCAACTATTTTTTGCGTTTTTTTTTTTAAATCTGTGGGGGATACAGCTAATAGACTTCAGACTCGAATTCAGCGTATCGAAATACATAAAAAACACACCTGATCAAGGTCAGAAAAAAAATTTCGCTATTTTTGGTGACTTTTCACTATTATTTTGCGATTTTTGTAAAATCTGGGGGAGAGTAGCAGCTTAAAAGACTTCACATTTTGATCCAGCTACAAAATACATAAGAGACCCACTTGATCGAGTTCAGAACAAATTTTTTTGCACTCACTGATGTGATTTTCGACGATTTTTCACTATTTTTTATAAATTATTCAAAATTTTGAAGGTGTTTTGAGCTAAACGGACTTCAGACTCGGATTCAGCACGTCAAAATACATAAAGCCTATTGGCTCAAATGAAAGGTACAGACCACTTTTTTTATGTGCCGGTGTTATTTTTAAATGTACTATTACTTAAAATATTAGATTTGGAAGGAGATGTATAATTCACAAAATGTTTACGAAGTTTTAAATAAATGTCTACCATTTGTTGCCAAAGAAAGAATTTATCCGCAATGGTATAACAAGGAAACAATTTTATATACAGGTATAAAAAGGAAAGATTATTATAGGAAAAAAAATAGGAAGAACCCGTAATGGTTTGATAAACTTAATCACAATATACTGTTGAGAAAACTTTATGAAATAGGTTTTAGAAATAATTTACTCCAATTATGTGTCAATCAACAACAGTATGTCATCTATAGAGGTGCAGAATCTTTTAACTCTTTCACATTGTCTGGGGTACCACAAGGATCCGATTTGGGACCATTATTTTTGTATGTATAGTAAATAACTTGCCAGATGTGGTTCAATATTCATACTGTGAGTTATTTGCAGATGATTTTAAAATTTACAAAAGAATTGAATCATTGTCTGATTTTTACTTTTTGCAAAAAGGTCTAATATATTTCAGTGGTTGGAACAATATTGCTTATCTATTAATGTGGCTTTGTATTTTTCTATTGCATCTGCTTGTAAAGAAAAAATAATATGAAGTGTATAAAGAACAAATCGAACGAATGCAAAAAATCTAGCTATATTATAGAAAATATTATAATATTTACCACATTTTAGGAGATTATATTCATCTATACATTATTTAAATTATTTAATGATAAAATTAACTGCATATTTCTGTTGAGTCAGTGTAAAGAAGATATTAATTTACTGACCGCATCATAGTTTCTGAAAACAATTCGCACTTTATTCCTGCCAATTTATTTTATTTTTATAATTTTATTCTTTAATTCTTGAACACTTTTTAGAACTATTTCACTTAACTTTAACGTTCAATTTACCTCTGAAATCTGGGGTGCTATCGTTCAAATAAAATTCTATCTACTTACCTTTTTTACATTTCTGTCTAAGAAAAAATGGTAAAGACCAAAATTTTAGGAAATTTTCATTCGGTTTCAAAGAAGTATATAGAAAAAATCACTGTTGGATTTCGAAGATATAATACAAACTTTTGTTTTTTTAATGAAAGGTAGATCCTTTTGTATTTCTATTTTTTTTTTCTAATTACAGTGACATTCAGGACCTTCATAAATGATTGCAAGCCACGTGACCCTCGAGTTTAGGCAACCAACATTATACGGTTGGTACGGTCAACTTAAAATCCCTAAATTTTGGCGTCACCAATATTAATTATTCGTTTACAATGAACAATGACAAATCATTACGTGTATGCGATTAGACCGGTGAAAAAGAATATTGTGTTTTAACGCAATCTTGATCTTATTGTTTAATTGCCAACGTTAAGGAAATAAAATTACGGATCACATGGCTTGTAATCATTTATGAAGGCTCAGTTTGTCATGTATTTGCTTTGACAGTTCAAACAATTAAATTTACTAAACAGATCTTTACACACTCTATTATGAAAAAAATACTGTAATAAAGAATGCTTTATAGTAATTCCATTGTCTTCTAAACAATGAGGACATTTTTGTAAGCAAATTTTTCTTTAAGACATAATTTTATGATCCGCAAGAAGTCATAATGTGACCACCACGTGGTTACAAACAAAGCAATGAATACATTTTTCAAGCTCTAATTGTGACCACTTCTTTAGATAAAACAATCAATGCTGTCAATAAAACTTATTATTTTATTACGAACTAGTTATAATATTCAATGTTTTCTTCATTGTACGTATAAGTGGGTAAGTTTCGCCTCCGCAAATACCAACGAAATCGTCGGTGTCGAGAGACCATACCATCATACCACCCAAATTTTTCTCGTTGGCATACTCAGCCTTCAGAGTGACAGACTTCTCGTCGTCGTAACCAACCCACTGATCGCCAGACACCCTGTGGGGTACCTGTTGGTCATCGTCCCAGACATAAGTCCAGTTGCTATATAATTCACAAATCTGGAAATAAATTATTTATGTCCGAAGTACAATAGAGACGGTGACAAATACAAATATTAAAGTCATTATAATCTGTAATTAGGACTGGTGTAGCAGGTAAGTATGTACTAATTCATTTAACTCGCCTCAATATACCCTAGAATACCGTCTTCATTCGTATATGGACCAGCTCTTCCCTGACCGGTAACAGGGGCATAAAGTTCTGCGTTATTTGGATCAGCTAATGTGAAAGTTCTGCCATAAGTGCCGACTCCAAGGTGCAACTTAGCTGGATCGGCTCCTTTGTCTATCCAGTGCTGGATACCAGATTTCTGTAAAGAACCATTGTTTATTTCCTCGTGATATCTTAATTTCGTCCTATGCTACTTACGACATTCAAAGTAGCATTGCCATCATCATCTTTGCTCGATGCAGTCAATGGTGCAAAATGACAAACATGTGTTTCCGCAGAACCGTGAAAATCGTAGACCATAACGTTAATTATATCTAAGAGCCTGAGACAAAAAAAAAATCAGGAGCTTTCTTCTACTCGTAAGGTTAAATCAAAAGTTAATAGACGTAGAAAGTCATTTTTTAATGATGTAGTAAGAAAAACCATAAATCCCGTATGATTATCGAGTTGGACAGTAGGAAAGTGGCATTTGGTCTGACTGATTTTAATACGTCATTTGTTGCACCAGTTTTGTATGCAATTAAGGAGCTTCTGAAGTTCTTGTATGGTTAAATTTAGGTTGGAATGGTGGCTTGTCAAAGCAGTATCATCATCATATTGAAGAATGTATAGATTCGGACATAGTGTTCTGACAGTAAAGTAAAGAGAATTCTTAAGAGAAGTTTTGATCAACTTTAATTTGAGGTGTCATTTTATTTAAGTTTTCTTTGAGTAAGTCAAATTAGATATATAAGTTTTTAAGAAAGAGCTGCATTCTATGCTGTATCAAGAACTTTACTTATATCTAGCAATGCAACAGGTCCAGTTGCTATTGTAAATGGATGAATAGTTGAGTTTCTTTCTCTAAAGCCAATTGTGGATTGATTGGCCAACAGCATCTTGGAATCGTTTCACAAACAATTTTTTTTCCAAAACTGTCATTAATGTGTATTTTTCTCCTATTCTATTTTCATTATAGTTATTGGTTTCTCCTGAGTGCCTAAGTGTATTTTCTAATTGTTTTCTTTTTATCTAACTAGCCATTTAAAAAAGAGTCCTCGTCGAAAATCGATAATTTTCTGTGGCAAAAAGATGTCCAAACCATATCCGACATTTAAACGAAAATTGGAGACTACCGTCAGTAAAAACATTAAAACTGATTTTATTCTTGAGCATGTACCGAAGGGTCTTTATTTTGCTGATTCAGAAATGCTATTATAGGGAGAAGATTTAGATTGACCATTTCAAGATTATTGTTTATACCTGCGACGACTTACATCTGGAAATACCCGAATAAATTTCGCCCACCAATAGCTTCCCGTAACTCAGTTTGTAAGTTTGTTATGTGGGATCGCTGATTCCGAATCCACAAAAAAAAAGTGGGAAGTCCGAAAGGCAAGATCACGGTATCCATATATTTTTGGGGTTGCTGAATCCGAATCCGGTGACTGTTTGATACGGTTAGCTCTGGGTTAAGGTGAATTCAAGGTCAAATTTAGAAAATCAATCAATTGCCAACAAACTAAACCTACATTCTATACGTTTTTGGGGTCGCCGAATCCGAATCTGATGACCGTTTAACCCAATCAGATCTGGGTTAAGGTCAGTTCAAGGTCAAATGTAGAGAATCAATTGTCAACAAACTAAACCTGCATATCTATACGTTTTTGGGGTGGCTGAATCCGAATCCGGTGTCCGTTTAAACCGATCAGATCTGGGTTGATGTCAGTTCAAGTTGTTTGATTTTGAACCCCAAAGTGAAGAATTTGATTGGGTTTGAAATATTTCACCAAGATATTAAGAAAGAAGAAAATCGAGGTGGCAATGAAACTGTCGCTGATAGTGCTAGTGGTACTAGTGACAACGAATATATTCCATATTACGTTGTGAAGAAGACAGGAATAATATTCCATGGAAAAGTAAATGATCTTGTTCGAGATTTGGACAAAGGATGGAGCAGAGTTCTTAATATCATGGCTGAAAAAAATACTAAGCAAGCCGGAAGAGTGAAGCTTCGTACTATCGGTCTAAAAATAAGGAATTTCGTAAATATTTCTCTATCGATGAAAAATTTTCCTTAGTTTACTGCAAGGATTGATGAATCACTTCAAACATGAATGATATAAACCTAACAAGTGATAGCTGTTCATTGATTCGTTGAAGCACATTTCATACGACACCACAGGGCAAAAAGATGTCCAAATTCACAAATTTTCCATACATGAGCCGTGATTCCATCAACGACTTCTTTTGCTTCTTCTGCTTTTTCGTTTTCCCTTTTCTTCTTATCTTACGAGATAGTATGGTTGGTATGTGCTACTGAAACGCAACTATTAATATTGATATCATTGTTGCTGACTATTCTCAAACCATGTTAGATTATTATGATAGAAAAGTTGAACAAATATTAAATACGCAAAATGTTTCTTTATAACAAATGTTAATATAGAGCAGTATTTCTTGCTTTACGATTTCTGGTAAAAAGAAAGTTATTAAGTATTTTTCAATTTTAACAACAGAGAAAAATATTTTTTTAGGCATATAAGAATAATATGAAAATAACTACGGAACTTACTCGCTCACAAGAGGGATCTGGTAAGCTATATCCATGTTAGTAATTCCTCCAGAGACAGCGGCGGACAATATGTATCCCTTTGCAGATAGGGCTGCTTTAAGTTCTTTAAGGAGTTCTACATAATTTGCCTGAAAAATGTAGAACAGTATTTAAGAATAAAAATGTACACTACTTTTAGTGTTGGTCAGAAACCTAATATACGACTGCAGTAATATTAATATTTGGTTACCAATTTCAATAATCTCAGAAAGAAATAGTTCTCATCTTAAACGATTAGTAGTTATTTAAGTATCTGCAGTATTTTCAGGTGATTAAACGGTATTTTCTTTATTTATTTGGTGTTACTGGTGAATATTTTTTTGTGTAATATTTTGTTTACTTGTGTTTACTATCTGAATATAACATGTTATTAATTTATGGAAATGCAAATTATCTCATATTTATGGGAACCAACATGAAGGTTGACATTTACCACAAGCTATAGTCTGTTTAGAAATGAAAGAGAGTAATAAAAGCTTATTATGTATGCAAATCGTAAATAAATGTAGTACTGGTGCTTATATTCAATATTTTTATATTATGTATTATCGGTATATAGAAGGTGTACTTTTAAAAAAACTTTGTGTGACCGGGTTGTACTAAATTGTAGCAGGTAGCTAAAATTTAATCCCCGACAATCCGTCTTTGTCTATGCCGCTTCAATTTCTCGGTCCATTTCTCTTATAAGTAAACAATATAAAAACAGCATTTCAAAACATGAGGCTACTTTAAGCATCATAACCGGGTTAAGAGGGTTTTTAGTAATTCAAATAAAATTATTCAATATTATTATCAAAATATTTATTTAAATTTAATGAATAGACTTTTATTCCACACAAAAATATATGTATTTTGAAAATTCAAATTATGGTGAGTAAATGTAGTGTTGTATAAATGTACAATAAAGAAAATAAAAAAGTAGGTATATTAAAATTCATCCTCTGAATATTCTGATGAATTATCTTCGTCTCCTAGATTGATAACGATAGGTTCCACAGTAACGTCAATTAAATTATCGAGTTCCCACATTTTCTCCTCTTCTTTTTGTACATGATGTATACATCTTTGCCAGTTATCTGCAGTTACTCGTTCCAAGGAATTTTTTAACAAAATTTTCACGTCACTTAATTTAAACGTCGTATTATTTCGCGCTACATCTCCTTTTACCTGCGCCCAGACTAATTCGATTGGGTTAAGTTCACAGTGATAAGGTGGTAACCGTAGTACCGTTATTTGGCGATTTGTTGCCATTTCATCGATAACATATTTTTTCTGATCTTTATTAAGATTGACAAGTGTCAAAAGTTCCTTTTTCACCATATTTGTTTCAAAAGAAATGTTTTTTCCGGATAACCATTGAATTATATCGGCTTTCCTCCAAGCAGTCGTAGGCGTCCGCTCGGTCTGCCGTGAATGGTAACTGGCATTATCCATGACAATTACAGACCCCGGAGGAATAAGATCCAACATCTGTGTAAAATACTCTTCGAAAACATCTGCGTTCATGTCTTCGTGATAGTCACCTGTATTTTTAGATTCAAATAAAAGTAAACCGCCATCTACAAAACCACTGGCACTACCTATATGTGTCACTATTAATCTTCGCCCTTTACCTGAAGGTGCCTTGAACCCTGTTGAAAGTCCATCCAAAAATGCTTGTCGAAAACTTTTTACATTTTTATCTTGCCATACTTTTGTTACAGTATATCCCTCGTTGACCCAAGTTTCGTCTAGATAATAAATATTCCTCCCTTCGTCACGGAATTTTCTAATTGATCTTAAGTAGGATCTTCGCCAACAAATAATTTCATCTTTATCGATAAGAACTGACTTCCTGTTCTGCTTTTCCCAGCAAAAATTCAACTCTCGTAAGACGGCCCATAATTTGCTTCTACTGATTTTTGGCAAATCGTTGTCCTCTGAAAGTTCACTTAAAATTTTGTTTAGCGTTGGTATTTCTTTTTTAAAATAAAATGAGTGTACTTTTCTGCGAATGACATTTTTGAAGAAATCATCTATAACGACTTTTGACCTCCCTGTAGATGATTTTGGGGGATTTACAGTATCTTGTTCATTTTTTGTTTCCTTTAAAAGTCTGTAGATAGTCGATTTTCCAATCCCTGTCATTTTTGTTAGCATTAGTGTTACCCGATAATTACCTGAAACGAAATATTACCACGCCCATGGCCGGTTCTTATCTCGGGGTTTTATTACTCTCTTTCATTTCCAAACAGACTATAGATCGCTTGTTGTCTTATCCCAGCATGTTTTAGATACTTTAGAAACAAAGTAATGATTTTTTTTTCGACGATCCTGCAAAGGTTAAATTTGAAATGCAGCTTCCATTCAATTATTCAAAACTTTTCGAGGCACAGACTTCAAAACTTGGTACCTTGGTCTCTCCATCCCATTTACTTTCATTTAAAATTTGAACCAAAACAAATTAGTGACATGGGAAATAGCAGTCAAAAGGGTTTCAATAGGTACTAAGTATTATTTGACATTAAGAGAATGTTTACAAATTTGGAGTGGTCATTTTTTATAGAAAGTTTTATATCTCAATTTTTTTTATCGTAGTATGCACAGGTCACGAGTAAAATTCCAGAGATTGTAGCAATGTTGGGGGTTCATTAACAGTGGATCATTTATAAAGATTATTTGTTCTAATTTTTCAACAATTAGTAGAACATAATTATGGAAAGTTTGAATCTGGTGATCTTCAGTCAAATAAGCTCGAAGCGTTATACAACTTTTTTTTCAAATGACAATACAGTTTTCTTTAAGTATTATTGTGCAGACTTCTATTCAGAATTCAACGAAGTATATAAAGTTTACTTTTGTGAAACATGTATTACACAGAAAGACCGTCAAAATATTAGTCAATACGGTATTAATAGGCGTCCGGTCGCTTAATTGACAGCAAACGTATTTTGACTAATTATGTGCCTGGCAAACAAAAAATAATAAACAAAGCAAAGAAACGTCATTTTAGCGTTCGTCTTCTAGTTTTTTACGCATTATACTCTTTTTGTGTAAGTTATCTTTTGAAATAAGCTCAACAGTTAAAATAATCAGTTGACGGACATGACTCAGGTATTACAGAGAATTATTTCCTCACACAGAAATTTCAAAATCACGTAAATTTGTAAGACTTGAAGAAAATTTGAGAAACTATGGTGCTTTTAAAGAACCAAAACGAGAAGAATGCCAATTTAATGAAAACATTGAGCTCAATGTTAACGTTGAAGAAAACGTAAGAATTCAGTGCGATTCAGCGTTAATGGTATGTTTAATCCACCGACATTGGGCCCAAGAAAACCTAGGGATTATCGTGGAAACAAATTATCAGCGAAGGTTTACTATCAATGTGTGGTGTGGCATGTTGGGTAATAGATTGATTGGATCATTTTTCATAGAGAAATATTGTCAGATATTGACGGAACAAGTTGAAAATTTTTTAGATGAATGAACAACTGAATAGAATTTATTTCTAGGAAGATGTGGTTACCCCTCTTAATGCTAGAATGAATTGGTTGACAACCACATTTAATGATAAGTGGATAGCAACTTATGGTCCTGTTCGATGGCCTGCCCGTTCTCCAGATCTTACTGCACTTGATTTTTCGTCATGGAGTTACATTCAAAATCATGTTTATTTAACACAACCAGAAAATTAAAACAAGAAAATTCTCAGGTAAAGAATTATACGTGCTTGTCGTGAAATACCCCCCAATTTTATATTGAATGCGACCCATGCAGTATTTAGAAACCAGTTATGTCTTGATTATGGCGGCGGTGGCGGCCAATTTGAGCAGTACTTGTAGGAGCAGGTGTGTAATTTTATTATTGTTAATAATTTGTTTCATTGTTTTGTGTTTATTGTTCTTCGTTTCATATGTTTTATGTTTAATTAATGTTATTTCGTGTTGAACTTTGTATAATGATTAATGTATTTAATTAAGTTGTTTTTCTTTTAATTTATATTCATTGTATTGTTTCTTTTCTGTTAATTATAAAATTATATTCTGAGTTGCATTTGCTTTGCAGTATTATTTTTTGTTTTCCATGGCACAGATGATTAGTCAAAATACGTTTGCCATGGGTTAGTGAATTATTTCGACATTTTTTCTGTAATAATATTTCACAAAAGTCAAGTTCATATATATTCATATTCTTCGTTGAATTCAGTAAAGAAATCTGCACAATAATAAATAAATTTGAAAAAAAAGTTTACTGTCGCTTTTCAAAAATAAAATAAATAAATAAATAAATAAATACACCATCCCCAAAATAGGCTACCTCTATAGGGTATTTAAAGCTATTTCATTTAATAATTTTTGTTATGGCTTGCGGCGTTTTTTAGGAGGCAACCTGTATTTTCAGTAGTAACTAATCCAAAATTGTGTTTAATTCCAACCTGCGTTGGCACACTTATTTTGTTTTTTTTTATTTTAATAAATTACTCACAGCGTCGTGTTCACTATCAGAACCATCTCTTATTCCTGGATAGAGCCATGCGAGATCAAACCCATGGTAATTGTGGTCATCAAGGAACTGCACGACTTCTTCAACAAGAACCTTACGTTTCGCGGAATCAGCTGCAACTATTGAGTAATTTTTCGAGGCCTCGTTCCATCCACCCATACTGACCAAGAGCTTTAAGTCTGGGTTGGCTTGAGTTAGGTTAGTAAAATGGGAAAAACCCGCTGAAAACCGAAAGAGGTGAATTGTTTAGAAACTCTCTGACGCATTTTTGTTACAAATAAGAATAGGTATACAGGGTGTCCCTGAAAAGGATGGACAACGCTTGACCACAGGTTCCTTGGATGGAAATAAGACTATTTAGCCTAACTTACCTATATACAAAAATGCACGTCTACTGAGATATAGCCTTCTAAATATAGAATAGATAACCTATTTTTTTTCAAATAATTTGAAAACTATTTTTCATAGAAACTTCAAATTTGGTACACTTATTTTTTTATATTAGGGCAAGGTAAATATAGAATTTGGAGGAAATACATATACAGGATGTTCTATTTCTAGTGCCTGTGCGCCATTGGCTATCCCGTAACTTTTTTGTGTATGCTAATGACGGTAGTATTTATATTTTCAAAAATAAGCACTGTTTTACAAGATTTTTTTGCTCTTACAAAATTTCGATATCGTTTATGGATGTCGAGTAAAATTCGCATATTTTATACATTAAATATAGGCAAAAATTCCGATTTATAAAAAATAATTTATAACTGCAGCCTCAAAGCAGGGAATAATAATGAAAAAAGGTCACATTAAAAAAAATAACTACACATTTTTGGTATTAGTATTATCAATCAATAAAATAAAAATCAACACTAATATTTTAAATAAACAATATCAACTAATAATGTAAGAAAGTCAACATTAACATTTTAAATAAACTGATATTTTGTAATCACATTAAAATAATATTACAGTAAATGCTCAAAGTTACTTTCTTGTTCTTAGTCGCAAACATTAGTTCTTCGAAAATTAGAAATTATCCAATAATTGTGCATTACCTCTCATAACATTAATTTCATGTTGTAAGTATTCTTTCCCATATTCGTTTTCTGTATTTACTGAAAAGTTATTTTAAACTGTGGTCCTCAACGCTCCCTAAATGAAATAATTACATGGGTTTAGGTCCGGGGATCGAGGTGGCCATTTTAAAGGGGCATTATTTCCTCTACCTATCCACCTGTTAGACCTTTAATAACCTGTAATACCTACCTGTACCCTGTAATACCTGTAACCTGTAATAACTGGTCTTTTAATACTCTATTAAAGGAACTTTTTGAAAGCCAACCTCTGCCGCTAAACGCCTTTTATTTACTTGAGGAATTTCTTCGACCCTTTCCAAAATTTGTTCCTCCAACTGAATAATTCCGGCCGTACATTATCCACGATTTAATGTTACAGGTAAAAAAACGTCCTGTTCTCCGCATTAGCAAATGTTTTGTGATTTGGAGTTCTCGATAAGGAAATCTTTCAGCATATGTTCGAACAGTAGCACAACAATTTCCTTCACAATAACCCAAAACTACTAACATATCAGTTTGTTCAGCAAAAGTATAAATTGCAATAAAAAACAAAGTAAGCTAAACTTGAATCACAGAGAGCCTGACACAGAACCTTGTAATTATTGTTATGAATTTGTTTCTCTGTTATCTTGCACCTCGTACTAGAATATTCTATTTATCTTAAACTGATTTTATATTATTTAATGTGTAAAAAATGCCAATTTTACTCGAAATCCATAAACGATATCAAAATTTTGTAAGAGGCAAGAAATCTTCTAAAATAGTGCTTATTTTTAAAAATATAAATTCTGTCGTCATTGGCGTACATACAAAAAAATCACGGGATAGCCAGTGGCGCACAGGCACTAGAAAGAGAACATCCTGTATATGTATTCCCACCAATTTCTATATTTACATTGCCCTTATATAAAAAAATATGTGTACCAAGTTTGAAGTTTCTAAGAAATACAGTTTTCAAATTATTTGAAAAAAACTAGGTTATCTGTTCTATATTTAGAAGGCTATATATCTCAGTAGGCGTGTACTTTTGTATATAGGTAAGTTAGGCTAAATAGTGAAGCGTTGTCCATCCTTTTCAGGGACACCCTGTATAATAAGAACGACACAAATAAATTTGCGTCTAAGATAGCTCCACAAATCTGCGTTTGAGTGGATAAGATAGAGTATTCCAAATTTCCATTTATTACAAAAGTGACAAATGACAAGTAAAAAGAAGTAGTAGCAAATGTAATACATTATAGGCAGCGTGAATCTAATGAAAATTAGCCTTAAAAAGGTACAAGCGAGAACTAATCTTGTCACTGAAATAAGCAAGAGAAGCGTTCAAAAATTGCCAAGGAAACTATGCTATTACCAATGGTGAACCAATGGTAAACAGTCAAATTTTTTAACATCAAATAGGAAACGGCGAAAATCAGCTCACAAGGTCGATTTAGATGACTTCGATATGGCTCTTCTGCGACGATTGCCATCAATTTTTACACCGTATGGAAAACGATGACCACCGTTAAAATGATTGGCCAAAAATTTGTCCCGGACAATAATTTTTCAGGTTCTTGAGAAAGAATCAAAAGACTTCTCAAGAAAATGAGATATCGGTAGCTCAAAACTAGAAATAACCGAAAACTTCTTTTGGAAAAACCCGAAATCCAGTTGTAGCAACCTCATTTCAGAAACGTTGTAGAAAAAAACGGGCCAATTATTTTCATGGAAGGAACTCAATTCATTCTTCTCATACGGATGGAGTGACAGCACAAATGATGATTTATGTCGATCAGTTTCAAAAGGTCAAACGACTTTATTAAATACTGGAAATGAAAAATTCGTGTAGGTACCTAAAGTGCATACTTACGTTTCAAATGAAACTGTAAAAATGGTGACTATCGTAACGACATACACTTTAAAACACAGCCCCACAAAAATAAAAAATTCTATCATTAATGGAATGTCATCTTTCACCATAGAATACGAAACGAATAACGAATATTACTATGTTGTTGACATGTACCATATAACGCACTCAACAGTCTATCAAAATTCTCCCTCAACTACAAGCACGGCAATTATCCAGAACCTTTCTTACCGCGAAGGATAAAAGTGTTACTAACCAATAATGCTGTATAAAGTTATAGTGTCGTATTTTCAAATGTCATTGAAAATGATCATGCTAATGTGAAAACTCGTGAATGTTGAGAGTCTTTCGGTCCATTATAGATGAGCGAAACAAAAATTGCTTAGTAAGACAAGCCAACTAATAGGTATTAGAATTAAGTAGCTTTCAAATAACATTGACACTGATGCAATAAGATCAAATAAAGTCCTAATAAAGCGACCAAAAAACCTGGAGTATTCCTACTAAACCCGAATTAGAAGTTACTCAGATTAACATCAATAGATATTTATTATACAAGGGAAAAAAGTACTAGATTTTAGCTCGAGGTTGTGTTGTCTCCCGACGCGAAGCGGAGGGAGACAAAAAACCGAGAGGTAAAATCTACTTTTTTCCCGTGTATAATACACTATTTTTTTCTGTGACGGGAAAAACAACGATTTAATATTGAAAAATAGTATATTATTTAACGAGCGTATAATGTAGGCTATATTACACGAGCCGTAGGCGAGTGTAATATAGCCATTATACGCGAGGCAAATACTATACTTTATCTACGACTTAGTATCCGGTGTTTCAGTTATAAATTTGTATATTTCATCTCCAGTAAATGCCTTTGATTTCTTGGGTTGGTAGCCTTCTGACTGCCTTTTTAATAAACTCGAACTTTTGCGTAAGATTCATATTATGTTTAAGGTTAAGTGTGCTCTTAAGCATGGAATAATGGCTCCACAATGTAGACGATTTACATTTTTTTGTCAATTCCTTGAAATATACCAACAAAGTGTCTTCGGAAAACGAATTTGTGCCAATTTTTAGTCGCCAGTCCATAAAGCTGTTATATACAATTGTGTAATTTTTTCGTGATTTCTCTGGAAGTAATTCCAATGATGCTAATTTCGCGGCTTCACGAATTTCAGGAGGGGTGCATCGAATTTCATTTTCACTGTCAGAATTAAACTGCAAAATTACTGCAAAAGTCAAAAATGTTTTATTTTGCGAAGTGTTGTCAAATCAATTACATTAGTTACCATAGTAACAATAATTCAAGCAAGCTCGATTCTATTTTGTAGCGCGGTCAGAAGCTATAAGGGATACGTATAAAAATTCATATTCCACACCTGTGGAATATGAAACTCATATTCCACGGGTGTGTAATATGAGTTACATTATGTACTTACTATCACAATTATAATGCGTCTATTATTAAATAGTCGTAGATAAA